TCCCTACACATCTTACCATCTAAGAATGAAGGTGATCTTAAGGAAACTTTGTAATCTTCTAAGATACAACCAGCATTATGCAAGATCAGATACCTAAATGGTATTTATGTTATAGAAATAATCACAATTAAAGGACAAAATAAATGATATATGCATGCTTCGAAATAAAGAGAAAGCAAATTATCGGACATAGATACACAGGAGAGTCTCCTGTATACCTGTGTTGTTCCTGACGAAGGTAGTGTCAGTTGCACAATGCTGGTAGAAGCTACCAGGTGGTGAGTTTGCTGCTGATGCGTTCTATCGATAGATTGTACCGAAGTTGCAATCGCTGGTGCAGCATCGCCGCTCTGGGAGCCCTGGGACAACGGATCGACGGCTGATCCATTTTCCTCGACCATACTTTCCATAGCCCGGCTACCTCGCGAGCTCTGCAATGTAAAAATTCAATGTACTACATATATCCGTGATAAGTAAAGTGATAAAAATGAATCCAATTGTATTCTATTGAAAATATATATAATAATATAAAACTAATATATATTAATGTGCGTCCAACTCCATAATATGCATATATTTAAATGTAAACAATCTAACACTTATATATATATATATATTTTTGATTGGATACGATAAAGAAATTTTTGATTGAAAAATTTGCTATGACATTGTTGTAAATTTTCGATTTGACATAAATAGAGAAAAGAACGCGAGAGAATAATATGTAAATATATTCGTACGCATTTCTTTTATGAAGAATCTTCGCGAAGCTCATCGGAGTAGTAAGGAAAAAGGGAAGTCGCGAGTCGTCCGTGCGGTTTAAATTTGCCGCCAACGACAAGTCCGGTGGTGCTTACTGCGTCATTTACATAAGCGGATCTAAAAATAATACGGGTGAGAACAATAAACACATTCGACGGTACTCTACGGAGTAGCGAGGAAACGACGAATCACGGCGCATGGGGAAACGCGAGAATTATCTCGTGCCTAACGTTTACCCCGGAAGCACAAATTGCGATGGTCTCGCGACGATCTCGCGGGAACGAATGTCAAAGGGTCGCTCGCGTAACCCCCCCGTTAGCCTCGCGATGAGAAATACGTGCGTGTTTCTCGTCGGGGCGCCATATTTCACGGTATCTCCGCGCACAGCAGACGTAAATGCGGATCGTCGCGCGGACACGGCGGAGAGAAAACCACAAACGCACGCCCGTATCGGGCCGACGGATGATTTTGTCGCGCGTGAAAGTCGAACGCGAGCGCGCTGGTCCATGCCCGATTGTTATTATTCTCCAGCTGGGGTACTTACCAGTTACGTATTTCTCGTCACCAAGTTTGCTGCAATCGGAGTGGGCAGTCGGGCAGGTACGTAGCAGCCACGTCAAAACTCCAGTTGCTTCGTCACTGGTGGAGCCCGCGACCTCTAAGTTGCGCGTCACGATCAAGATGGCAGTCGCCGTCGCGCTCGCTGCTCGCTGGCGGCTCGCTCTTTTTCCGCCCTCCGCCCCCTCATAATCTGATCTCGTCGGCGTTCTACGCGCGCGGCATGTGTATTGTTGGTTGTGCACGGTCGCGTGTGCTTCTATCACGGACGACGCTTACGACAATTATCGCGTATTACAATTCTATTGCACCTTGATCTTTCATTCCTCTTCCCGCACACGTTTTTCTCCTCTCTCTGTCCATCTTTCTCTCTCCCTTTTTTCCTCGCTTTATATACACAGTTTCATCCGTCTTGAGTGCAAAGGTAATGATAATTTATTTCAAGAAATAGTTATACACACAAGATTTCTTTTCCCGGAAGTAAAAGTCGTAAGAATTGTAGTATCATTTTTTAATTTTTTTTATTTTTCATTGTTTCTCTGACAACTTTATTGAAATAATTACCAACATAAATCTGGAAGTCTTACACATGTATGCGATTACCATTTTATAATTATATAATCATAATTCCTATTTTAATTCTAAGAAAGTTTTTAGTTATCCGAACTAATGTTTCTCTATGAGCAGAAATACTACAAATAAGTAGAACATTTATTTCAAATTAAAGAAATAAAATTTAAGAAAGCCATATTTCATAATTGTGTAAAACAATTTCTTATACATGTATAATTTTCCTAACCTTTCTTTTCTGAAAAATGTTTAATAAATGATCATAAATATGTGTTTTCTGTGCCGTAGATATATATTATTATCTAACAAGACATATTGGAATAAATGTAAATTTAATATTAGGTTAAATTCCATAAAATCGGAAATTGTGAGGTATTAACATAAAGTTTGTCGGACACACTGATTGGCTATCGGATAGAAAACCTCTAGGGAAGTTCCTGAAGCTCTTCCAATAACAGCCAATCAGGATATGCGAAGTTTGCATGATAAATGAAATGATTTAAACCTTAGAAAATATAATACATAGTTTGATCGCCGAGTCTATAGATTTGTTCTTTGTGAACTCATACACTAAAATGAGATGGATATATATATATTATAAAAGTTGAAGAGAAAGAGAAAGAATGAAAAGTGCAAGAAGTTCAACTATAAAGTACAAACTTTATTTCTGCGCGGGAATCGCGGGAATCCCGAAGAACTTACGAATCTCTCTATTTCCTTTACACTGGGTTGCGTTTGAGAATGTCACCCATGTTTTTAGAACGAAGATAGAACGACGCTCGTGTGCACACGGGTGATATTTTTGAACGTGCGCGGTAGATCAGCGGAAATATGATACCGGTGTAAGATAAGGATCCATTGAAGCGGTAAAAGAATAGTGTGCAGTGCTATAAAGAAAATATCTGAAGCTATTTTATAATTGTCGCCAAATATTACGACAATAAAACAAAAATATGAAACAATTACATCGCATTAACATTATGATGAATATTAGCATCGTCTTGATATTGTACTTTTATGTACAAATTGTCGAAGGAATAAATCATCGCGTGTGCTTCTATCACGGACGACGCTTACGACAATTATCGCGTATTACAATTCTATTGCACCTTGATCTTTCATTCCTCTTCCCGCACACGTTTTTCTCCTCTCTCTGTCCATCTTTCTCTCTCCCTTTTTTCCTCGCTTTATATACACAGTTTCATCCGTCTTGAGTGCAAAGGTAATGATAATTTATTTCAAGAAATAGTTATACACACAAGATTTCTTTTCCCGGAAGTAAAAGTCGTAAGAATTGTAGTATCATTTTTTAATTTTTTTTATTTTTCATTGTTTCTCTGACAACTTTATTGAAATAATTACCAACATAAATCTGGAAGTCTTACACATGTATGCGATTACCATTTTATAATTATATAATCATAATTCCTATTTTAATTCTAAGAAAGTTTTTAGTTATCCGAACTAATGTTTCTCTATGAGCAGAAATACTACAAATAAGTAGAACATTTATTTCAAATTAAAGAAATAAAATTTAAGAAAGCCATATTTCATAATTGTGTAAAACAATTTCTTATACATGTATAATTTTCCTAACCTTTCTTTTCTGAAAAATGTTTAATAAATGATCATAAATATGTGTTTTCTGTGCCGTAGATATATATTATTATCTAACAAGACATATTGGAATAAATGTAAATTTAATATTAGGTTAAATTCCATAAAATCGGAAATTGTGAGGTATTAACATAAAGTTTGTCGGACACACTGATTGGCTATCGGATAGAAAACCTCTAGGGAAGTTCCTGAAGCTCTTCCAATAACAGCCAATCAGGATATGCGAAGTTTGCATGATAAATGAAATGATTTAAACCTTAGAAAATATAATACATAGTTTGATCGCCGAGTCTATAGATTTGTTCTTTGTGAACTCATACACTAAAATGAGATGGATATATATATATTATAAAAGTTGAAGAGAAAGAGAAAGAATGAAAAGTGCAAGAAGTTCAACTATAAAGTACAAACTTTATTTCTGCGCGGGAATCGCGGGAATCCCGAAGAACTTACGAATCTCTCTATTTCCTTTACACTGGGTTGCGTTTGAGAATGTCACCCATGTTTTTAGAACGAAGATAGAACGACGCTCGTGTGCACACGGGTGATATTTTTGAACGTGCGCGGTAGATCAGCGGAAATATGATACCGGTGTAAGATAAGGATCCATTGAAGCGGTAAAAGAATAGTGTGCAGTGCTATAAAGAAAATATCTGAAGCTATTTTATAATTGTCGCCAAATATTACGACAATAAAACAAAAATATGAAACAATTACATCGCATTAACATTATGATGAATATTAGCATCGTCTTGATATTGTACTTTTATGTACAAATTGTCGAAGGAATAAATCAAAATGTGATAATACATACGATAGATTCTGAAACATCGCAAGTTAATGCATACTGTATGTATTAAAGCTGTACATTTATAACAATATATGTTTATAATGTGAAAGTATGACACGCATTTATATAACATATTTTTTATAGTAACATTTATTTTTACCAAGATTACTATATTTACAATAAAAAAAAATTTGTGTACAATATTCTATTTAATCCATAAAAAATAAAGGATCTAGAAAATTTAACTACTTTGCAAGTTTCTAATTTTTTATTTTAGATTTAATTTAATTTAATTTTTTTTTTTTTTTTAGATGAATATGTTGTAAAAATACGTGATAATGGTTGCGAATGTATTAAATATGATTGTGGATGCTGTCAATTTATAGAATGGGATGCACTTTCTTTAAATGGAACATGTGAGTAATAATTTTTAAGCTACGCACAATGCTATTAGTTGCTTAATATTATTCTATATGTGTTGCATTGTATTGAAACTTTATTTTTGTATATAGTATGTGCAAATGCAAGTTATTTAGAGTACGATTATGGGTTTTCTGTCACAGTAACATACAACGATTTTACAATTATTAATGAGACAGTTTCAGGTAATATCCAGTTGCAAGTCAAAAAAATGTGCAATTTTAGTGTTATATTTTAATAAATGTATATTTTTAGGTAAAAACCCACCGCCTTTCTGTGTAGGAGAGGATATTGTGGATGCAATAGAAATTGAAATTTGCTTGCATATATATGATATAGATATTAATGATAAGTTTCATGGATGTTTTGAGATTATAGGAAAAATTATGAAACTTAAATTCATTACATTAAAGCTAGGTTGTATTGACAACCTCGTTCCCTTTGAAATTCCTAAAAATTCCTCATCCTTATTGTTTGAAAAGAAAAAATATTCCATATTACTTATTGTTAGTGTGATTATGGTATATATGCTGAACAAAATATTTATATAAATAATATATATTTATATAAATAATTTTATATTACATATTTTTTATATTTGAAGTTTTATACATGTTATACCATGTCTTTTATTTTTGTGCCATATTTACATAGTAGTTAGCTTTTGTTTAAAGATATAAGATAATATGGTAGCTTTATATTACTCTAAAAATACTTGTGTTTATTTTTATATAGGGCAGTGCTACTTCTCTCTTCTATAGTTATATTTTTATAAAATATATATCATATATTTTTGTAATTTTATAGATTTATTACATAATATATATAGAATGATAGCACAAGTGTTTTGCACATTTATCTTATATATACTCAATGTCCCAAACACTTTTTATCTCTCTCCCCCTTCATGGTTATAACTATATTAGTTATAATTATTCATATAATTATAACTATTTTTAATTCAACATTGCTATCAATAGCCTTTTCCGCTCGGCAGCGCAATCGTTCTGGAAAAGAAAACAAAGATATTCTCCCATGTTACCAATAAAATGAGCTAAAAGTTTATTTGCAAAAGTACACATTAATTGCACATAAAATGTATATTTTTCATTTGCATGCATTTTTTAGATTATTGACACTTATATTAACGAGCGAAACATCTGATTGGGCTCTTAATAACAGAAATAACTCTTCCCGAGCTCGTTAATTCAATAACGCGATCAGAAGCCGCTTAAAGTCATCGCTGCAGTCATTCTGTAAATGCAAAATAATGTGGAAAAATTAAAGCTAGCATCAAGTCAAAGCAAATATAGACATTCATGTATTTATGTATATGTAATTAATACAGACGTGCATGCAGTCAGAGATGGACAGTAATTAATAGTATTAGTGCAAAAAGGGACAAATTTCCATTTTGATTAACAATTTACTAGTGCTAGTATACAGTGCCAATCAATAGATCGATGATTTAATTTTCGATCTTTACAGAAACTCATGTACAGAAATGTCCAAGTTTCTACATGTGTTGCGTGTATTTTCTTGTTATTTTATAATACGTTTTTACAGATGTTGCACTATCTGATGAAGCGCAAAATATAAATAACATGAATAACACTATATTCACTATTAATGACCAGCAAAATATAATAAACTAAATTAACCAAGGCCTTATAATATAACGAAACATTATACGACATATGTAATCTCCGCGACACTGAAGTAGAATTTTCGATAAAAGGGACTGTTGCGTACAATCAAAATATTTTCATCCGAGAAGGGCAAGCAAGAGTCTCTTGTAGTCGCCTGAACAGTCGTCCTGAAATTTATGGAAAGTTATATGCAATGCTAAGATACAGCGCGTACACGTGAGTTAACAAATTATTATTATTCATTATTATTGTTGTTTAGTTCAGCGACTGTAAACGCAGCTTTTATTGACCACGAGTTAAGGAATGTGTCGTATATGAATGTAGAAAGGGTGGAATTATGACATAAATACATAACATAATAAATTTTGATTATACAGAGATAAAAAGCATTACTGTATTAAGCGAGTAAATGTTAAGGCTGTATAATTAAAGCGCTGAAAATAAATAAAGTTCAGTTTCGACTGAACAAAATAAACGATTTAAAAGATCTGATGTTAAAAAGACATTCGAGCTTTACATTTTGTAAATTATTTGTTTCTTTTTTTATATAGACTATTATGTTTTTATATTTTTATCAAAACTTTATATCGCTATAAAAGCAAAACGTAATGAAAAAGTAGCAAATGAAACAGCTATTTTCAAAATAAATATAGTGAAATTATTACGATTGCAAGAAATAGCGTATCTCACTTACGTCGATGGCTTCTGCAAGAGATTTCCCATAAAGTCTCTCATAAGCCTCTTTAATGTCGCCCAGATCGATCTCCGATCGTGTTACAATTATGCGTATTAATGTCGAATCCGTGGTGCCAAATCCGCGCATAGCTTTGTACAGTCTTTCCGCAAAATAGGCAGTCTTGTCGCGAGCGCATTTCACTGAAAAAAAACTCATTTATATAGTTTTAGAATGATGAAAGTAGACGAATTACATTCAGAAGGGTAAAATATTTCGAGAGATCAAATTAGAAAAAAGACGCGAATAATAGCAAATAAATTCTTATACTTGCATAGCTAACTTAATTATTTCTTACCCACAGCTAAGTAGCCGTCCTCGAGAGAACCAGAAAATTCTCGCTTAATAGCATCCTCCAAACTATTTCCGGCGATACGTTCATATTCCTTAAAAATCCTTCGCAATTGCGGATAACTTTTAGTGATGAGAATTGCATTGAAGGTGCTCTCGTCGGTACCCCACTGTCCTTCACCTGCGGCGAGAAGTTTCTCGGCATCCTGAAGTGCGGCCTCCTCATCAACGTCAGTATTCTCGTTTCTACTGGCCTGTGTATGCGATTGGTAATTAAAGAATAGAGAAAAACACTAAACGAAATAGACCAGAATACGCAGTATCTTTCAATTATTACTCACACAGGACAACGATACTAAAAGCCTCTTGAAATGACCGGAAGTATCACTCTTGAGATCATCCTCTAACTCTGTGTCATACACTAACAAGATAAATTGAATATATATAGATCAGAGTTTATAGAATAAACGAAAATACAATATGTATTTAATTATTCGAAATAAGAACTGCAATTTTCAAATTTGTTTAGATAATATTTCTACTTCACATACAAGAGACAATGCTAAATTAAGGACAAATAGATCTCTACAGAATGCTTTGCATAGGAACTTGCGATCTATTTACTATTACTAGTTGTTATTATTACCACTTACGTTCTTTGTAAACGGCCGATATTGTCTTGATGCCGTAATTGCTCAGAGATGCGAGGACTTCGATAAGTGCGCCTTCATCAGTACCCATACCGGAAATGGCATTGTGCAATTCCTTGGCATAAAGATGAGGAAGAGGTGTCATCAGGGCGCAAATGACTGTCTCGAAATTTCCGGACAATTCCGACTTCAGCTCAGAGACGAGGTCTTTGCCGTACATCGTCTTGAATTTGTCGGCGATTTCCAATCGCTGTACGATTCCCCGATGAGCCAGAACATCAATGATGGCCTGTTCGTCAGTCCCGAAACCCTTCATGGCAGTTCGTAAGAGAGTGGCATCTTCCTCAGCATCGAAGGGATCAGCCGGATACACGGTGGGTGTACACTGGAAGTATTTATTATTTTTTAGAAATATTGCAAAAGCCTATGCAAAAATCGTCCACTCATACTAATAAATTAAAACGAGATGAATCATAATGTTGCACGTTCATTATTCCGAGATTTACACATCTCGCTATAAGATATTAACATAAATTACCTGTACGTGATAATATTGACTAGCTGCCATCTTACTGATTACCTGAAAACATTTTAATATTATTTATTATTTTACATCTCAAATACAATTTAGTAATTTTCTTTTAAACTTTAATATGTATATCTAATTTTTAAATATTATTTAATTATTTAACTATAGTATAGTAATATGTGATTTTTCGAAAAATAAAAATGATTGCGATGTTCAACTAAAATTCTTTATATAATTATAGTGTTTTTAAGTGTTTTATTGTAATGTAAATCGTAATTATAAAATTATATTAAGAGCGACTTTCTACGCTGATATGATTTCTCATCTGTCATAATTAATGTGTGTAAACCGTGCGATCCGACGATGCGGCAGTATGTCCCTGACTCGTTTCAGATGATACACGTCATGTACAAACGATGATCTCATCGCGTAATGCGCTACATCCATTTGCTTATTGCTGTACATTTGTACAACTAGTAAAATAATTGTATGTCCATTTTATGATTAGGAGATAACAAAAATGATGAAAGCATGTTATTTTGCAAGATACCGCAGGATTATATTGATCAGACCGGCAATGTGACACTTGGGGTGTGGCTTGTTTTACCTTTTTTGACGGCGAGGTACGCTCTTTCCGGAAAACAGTATCGGTTCTGCTAGCTGGTAGCCGACTAACGGTTTGCAAGACGTTCTCCGTCGAAGAGAAGCAGCACGGAAGAGAAGAGGAAAGGAATTCGCTGGTGGGGCAATACGTTTTATATCTGTTTACGATGAAGACGACGGAGCCACCAACAGCCCGGTATTTTTTTGCCGAATTTTGAATGACATAGATAATGCGAATTAGATGAAATCGATATCGATCGGTTTCGGTCTATAAATTTCATGATTGATTTTTAAACGCGAAACAACATTACCGCGATTTAACAATCATTTCCAACCATTTTTCTGAAGGAAAAAGCGTGCAAAGGTAAAAATAAATAACAGGAAAAACATGGAAAAAAAAACGTTTTTACGTTATGAATATTTCATAGCCGTATACTTTTTTATTTTTATCAATTAATTTCTTTATATAATTCATATAATTTTATTAATTATTAAGAACGTTAAATTAACCATAATATTGAATCATTAATAATGTTGAATTGATTAAATTAATTTTAACTGTAATATTTTTGTTTTCTTCTTATTGCTTTTTTTATTTTTATCAAGTTATGATCAACTGCAACTTTTAATTTTTGCTTTTTGTTTTTATTGAAAATGTTAAAAATACTTTCAAAAATAACCCTTGCTAAAGTTATTACCTTGGCACCAATACAGCGCCGAGGTTATTGGAATACATTTAGTACGAGAAGCATAAAATCGATACCAATTGATTATAACTTCGATGAATAGTTTTTTAATGCGAAACGATGAATTACTTAGTTTTTAATAAGAATAGTTATTAAATGTAATTGCCTACGATGACGAAAGTATAGCGGAAGTATTTCTGTTGCTCATAAATTCCGATTCTCAGAATGATTCATACAATTTTAATGACGTGTTCTTCTTTTCTAAAAACTAGAATGATTACAATACGGAGTATTTAAAAAAATAAAAGCACAGCTAATGTTATTAAACAAAGTAGATGTTAGATATTAGATTTTGATCGCTAAGAAAAATGTTGATTAAATAACGCGATATAAATTTTGAATTGAAAATTGTATCTTATAGAAAAGAAATATTCTTTCTATAAATTTAATTATTTAACGTTGATCTTTTTAGATTTTTAAATTACAAAATAGAGAAATAAATATATAAATAGATATTCTGTTTACTCATATCGCCGATAAAGCAAGCTATTAATCTCTATAAAGATTGTGTAATAAAAATCACTGATTGTATTTTAATCACATTTAGAATTTAACTATCCAAGATTATCGAGGTCAAACAAATATATAATATCCTAATTAATGATACAGCTGAATTGTCTACATGCCGACTAAATACATGCAGACTAAAATAGATTATATTAAATAATTTTAATATTACTTACGTTAATATATATGTATTAGTTCCACTGAATAATTTACAGAGAAAGCCGACTGCTTTCGGAATGATTTTCTTCGTCGCGTTGTGTACGAATGCGAATACTTTGCCAACTGGGTGGAAACTGTTCTGACAGCGGCGATATTAAGGACGCGTTGAAGGGGAGAGGAGAGAACGTTCACATTGGTGGGGTTGACGACGTAGCGCCGAATAATGACGTGGAGAACGGAATATCCTGTAGTGAGCCAAAGGAGATGGTGAGTGAATCGTTGCCCGCCGGAACGACGCCGTACAAGATCGATAGAAATATAATGAAAATAATTTTTACTACCAAAATTTAGGCACATCAATATATGTTTTGCGTACGTATAAGTTCTAATAAAATTCAAAATTCAAAATGAAACTCTTACTACATATTTCCTTCATTTCTCAATGAATAATATTACTCATTAAGAGCATATATATATGATTCATAATCCTTGATTGAATGAGAATAAATCTGAATAGATCTTGTGACGCTCTTGAACACGCAGAATGCGTGACGGAATTAGCACATATAGTGTCTCGAAAGTCTAGGCATTTATTACTTGCATGAACTGTAGACAAAGATCGAACTAAAAATGAATAAATATCATATCAAAATATCTAATATATATGCTTAGCTAATATAAATTTTGTTGAGTTTTCAATATCGTTAAATTCGATGGAGACATCATTTCTATGTGTCTGTATGTACACCTTATATAGATTGCATTGTATGATGTCACTTGCATAACATGCATTCCTATTCAAAGTAAATTTATTCACTTCACATTGTAATAAAGATTCGATGACGCACTTAAAGGGAATTTGATAAGTCTAATCCGATACTAAGGGAATGTTAATTTAAAAAAGTACTTGAAAGAGATTTGTTCAAAAACATTTTTTTCTGAGGCATATGCATCGATAAACCGGATGTATTATTGGAAGGGGATTATACTGGTAAAATAATATATTTGATAAGATCTTCTATCGTTGTATAATAAATTTGGGGATAATTTTTAATGCGGATTATTATTAATGAATTCTTATTTAGAATTGACATATATAGAGCTTGTGGTAGAAGAGAAACTCGATGTGGAGCCGTCTGAAAATGTTTTATTAAGATTACATATGGCAAGCGAGGCTTTCGTTTCCAATTCCTCAAATTGAAAATCCATCTCCTCAACATTTTTTTCAATACATACATGTACATATATATATATATATATATATATACTGTCAGTACGATAAAAAGTGCATTCTCTAGCACATCTCTTGCACTTGTCTTATCTAATTATTTACTAAAAATTTGTCTAGGTTCTTTTTCCTTTATCACCTTTACCACTTTAAGAAAATCGTTCAGACTTCTTGTGCGAATCGTTCTCTTATACGTCTGTACTATACAATTATAGTACAGTCAAGAATATGCGAGCTGAATGTTATAATTATTCATAACCATAAGTAATATCCTGATAATGTGAATTTCTTACATTTCGCAAAATATAATACATAATTTTTTTTAACAGTAAAATGTATATTATAAACACATTGTAAAAGAATTTATAAAACAAGATCAATACATACTACATACTGAAAAGTTTTGTCAAATGCATCGAAATGAGTCTCGCCGTTGATTCTAAATTGTGCGTAGCAAAGGAACTACGTTATACACATCTTCAAATCGTACACATATCTTACTTATTATCTTTTGACTATACAAGGTGTTTCCCGATATATACGCGCGGCCTTGATCCTAACAATCGACGAATTTGAAGATGATCTCTTAGCAAAGTGTCGAAAAAAACTCAGAATATCTAATTTCTCAATATTAAAAAAATTTTGATTATATATATTTTAGTATTATAACTTAACTTATACTTTATTATTGCTATATTTTTATAATCAAGTTCTAAATTAAAGCTCCATTATATAAAATTTTTTTATTGTAAAAGAAAGATCTTTATTTGTAGTCGCTTATAATTCAGAAAGATGGCGCTTCGATATTTTCAATAAAGAATTAAAGTATGATTAAAAAGATTTTTAACAGCTTATCCAAAAAATAATAAAGAATGATTAAAATTTTCGAATAAACTATATGAACTTTAGACCGTCCTTATTTTCTAAATGGATAACATATTCTGCATGTTTTGAAATTTTCTGATATTAATAAGCTATGCAAGCTTGAGACAGAGAAATTATTAATTTTCTAATTTTTTGTTTAAACTTGAACATCTCGAAAACGAAACTTCGTATAAAAAAATTTATCTATACACTTTTCGAATTATATTTTTAAATAGAATTTTCTTTGGACCAATTTTTGAATCAATAAAAAACTACCTTATATAGTCAAAGCCTTGATAACGATTCTATACAGTACATATCTGACATCCCAGATCCCAATATAAATCATTGATGATAAAGAGAAATGATATACGCAAGAACAATACAAATGTAATCAAATCAATTTTGTTATATAATCAGGGTTTTTTTTTTACTAAACATTACTAATATTAAATGTATAGATTTTGTTAATTATATTCATGTGATAATTATTATTTGTTATGAGTGTGCCTAAGTTCAAAAAATAAAAAATAAAACAAAATTTGAGAAATGCATATTATGCTAATCGTGGTTTTTGATATGTTTTATATATTTGACTATTAAACATTTTTGCAAGCGCACACACACAATTAATGCAATGTATTTGTAACACTGGTAAAATATCTCTAACACGCGGAAATGCTACTTACAATAATTTTAAATAATGATATATAACGTAAATATGTTGATAAGAGATGTAGAGAGAGAGAGAGAGAGAGAGAGAGAGAAAGAGATTTATGTGAGCGACAGTAATAGTAGATAAAAGAGTGAGTTAATAACAGCAAAGATCGCAATAGTAAAAGTAGCAGCACAATAGCAATGATAGTAGAGTAATGCTTTTCACAATAATAATAATACATTCTCTAAATATTCATACGATAAGAAAATGTTACAAAACACATTTCTGCATTCAATATAAATTTTTGTATAAAATGCAATTTGCAAAAAAGATATATAAATCCGCGTCTCTTAAAATTATTAACATAATTCTTACATAATTATATAATTTCCGATAGATTCGACATTAGTGCACATAATCACCTAATTGTAAATGCGCGCGTCATGATTCATGCAACAATTATTAATTTCAATACATATGTCATGGAAAATGTAAGTATTCCTATAACATTGTATAGTATACGTATATAAAATGTTGATTATCCGCATGTAGATTAATTCGAAAATCGATATTGAGTAACAACTGTTCTAATAAAAGAAACATGATGGATATACATATTAAATGTGAAGTATACATATATAATAACAATTTTCATATAGTGTAAAAAGATAAAATAATACCTATAAAAGAGTATTTTAATACACAAAATAAGAACTAAATGTATATAGTTTCTTAAATATAAATAAATTCTCTAATAACAAGATAATATATTGTGATAAATATAACATTGCTTTAAACCCTCCAGCACTGTCATACTGTATACAGTCTTAGATTTGATGTAAATTGCACCACAAAAGTCTTTAAAATGAAAACATTATTAATCTAACGTCAAATGCGACTTCAATAATATAAAATTAATAATAATCATTAATAAGCAAGCAAAGATAATAAATCTTACAATGGCATGCCGCACACAAGTACTGCAGGATTCAAGAACTGAAATTAATGTATGTACAAAGTGTTTCAGATTCACTGCATTTTCTTTCATCTCTGATCTCTTTAATATTTTTTCCACTTAAGCCAAAGAATTTGCAATCGGGAGAAAGTGCGTGTGATGCTAGAGGGGTTATTCTTTCTATATATCATATGTTAGTTGAAACGCAATAGTTGTGAGAGGCGGATGATGTTTCAATATTAGATAATGTGTTTAAAGAAGCGGATATTATATTTGTGTCGTTCTATAATATCGAGAATCTTTGTTGGAAGAATACTATTTTCTTTCTTGCCTTTTTTTCATTTAGTGGGATTTGCAGGAACGCTTTTACGAAAACATTTCTCTCACAAATACGCACTCGGGACAGTCGCCGTTTTACTATATTTTATACATAAGAATGATTCTCACATACAGCAAATTCAACAATAAAAGTATACTTTTTTATAGAACTTTACAGAGTGAGACACCTAACTTTACCATCCAAAATCTTCCACCAACATCGTAGAAAAAGCTATACATAGAATGTTTCATAAAAGAATATGCTTGCAGATATTACTGTATCGCGGAAAACTGATTATAAATAATTTTACCATAAAATATTCACTTATCTGAATTTTTATATGTTGTGATTAAGTATATGGATTCATGAGAAAAACGAATGTTTAATCCACAAGATCAAAAACGGTGAAAAATGTAATTCATAACATGAGTAAAACTATCACAAGCATGCCATTTCATATGTCAATGTGTAGTGTATATCATGATGTTTTACACGCATAATCAACATGAAGAAAGAAAACATTTTGCATAATAACATTCAAAGATGATCTTATAGATAAGTAAAGCAATGATTCCTAAATAACATTCCAGAGAAGACATTCTTGTTCAATTAGTTTAAAAAACTACACTATGCAAACATTTTCTCTAAAAATTGCCAAAAATTTCGTATTTGTCTCATTGTCATCTTATATCTAAAATTATTCTAAAATTCAAATTGTAGTAGAAAAGTAAAAAAGTTAAATAAAAGTATCATTTTTTATATATCGCTATAGAATATTAAATTTAATCTAAAGCACTGAGCAAGATTAGAAAAAATAATAGCAGATAAAAGAAATATATAAAAGCTAATATTTCTTTTTTCTCTCCTATATATAAATTGCTTGAAAGTGATTTTTTTTTCTTATTGTCCATATTTTTTTTCTATTTATATATACAAGCACTCTCTCACTGCATTTGTTCACTAATTTACATAAAAGCTGATTGCAAGTGTTTTGTATTATTTAAAAAAAAAAAATGTAATTATGCGGATATATGAACAATAACTGACATGCACTTGTTTCTGAATTAGTGACTTATTTAAAAAATTGTGAAAGCAATAAGAACAGTTTTTGCTAACAAATGATCAATCTTTTGCAGTTCATTAATATAAAGCAATTTTGGATATAAGTTTATATAAACTCTCTTTTCCATCTATCTGACCATCTTAATATAAATAAGACCGTATATTTTTTTAGACACCCTGTATTATCCGTAGAAAAACGGGGTTACATTTGAGCATTGGAGCAAATTTGAAAAATTTTGAAGTATCATGCATCACAATAGAAAGTCGTTGCGTTTATTAAAATCAATGTTTAAAAAACGCTAAAAAAATTTTTATATTGTATAGAATATTTAAATTTTTAAATACATCCCAATGTTTGCAAATGTATCCTTTTCTCTCTTACGTATTACCCGTATCTATTAGTATCTGGTCAATATGCAACATGCTGATTGACTCCATACTCCTTAAAATACTAAATTTCCATTTGGATTTCTCTTAAAAAATCACTTTTGAATTCACCCGCGTGATATCTCTCTATTAGAAATATCCATATATTTTACGAAACACCCTACATGTAAGATTTCATCTTGATACAATGTTAGAATAGAAGATACAGATGGAGGAATAAAAGATATCAAAAGAGAAAATAAAAGATTCACTTTCAAAAATCTTATAAATTTCTTAAGTCACTGAAATATAAATTTTGTTGATTTAATGTCTGTATATGATTTTATATGTATGTATACAACAATAACTGTATTATTATTATGTTTAGGATGAGATGTCTAGTAGTAATCTTCTACAAAATTATCAAAATGTTACTGTCTTACAAACTGTGGACAAAAAGCAAGAACATGCAATGTAAATTTCAAAAAAATAATATCTAGACGAGCATTAGCCAGTTTCTTAAGAGATGAGCAGAGTTTATAATCTTAACTTATATGAAAAGCTTGTAGGATAAAACTTATCTTTTCATTTATAGAAAAAAATTCATCTAAATTTTTTTTATCATTTTCTTTTTGAAAACAGGTTATTTTTGAAAATAATCACAAGTGCAAATTTGTAACTGCATTCATATTGCATTTATAAGGCTATATATCTAAATAGAGCATTTTTAAAGCATATAAATGCATAGAATTTCAGAAGGAGAAAAGCAGGTGGTAAAGTTAAGTGTCTTATTCTGTGTAACAATAGTACGATTATGGCACGAAACTTATTTCTAAAGAGAAATGCTAAACGGATCAGATCGATTCAATATAAATACATGCTCGGGGAGCGATCTTTTCTGTAGTGTACTATTTTCGAGAGACGACTATCTCAGTATTCTATAATTTTTCTGTTCGATTAATCTGCATTCGATTTTTTCTTTTTTTTTTTTTTAATTTTTGGAACTTTTCCCTTGATTATTAATCTATATCATCCATTCGTACATCGTGCTTACAGTAGATACAAAAGACCTAAGAAAGGCATTCTTAGGTTTTCCTATGATGCAAACTTAAGTTTGCAATGTATTTGTGATTTCTCGATGTACAGTTACCAAATCTTGTATGTAACCAGCTAATCTAGCATTTAACGTATCCAAATTTTGTTTTTGAACCTTATTTGCACTCAATGCAAGTTCTAATTGTTCATGAACTACATTTAACATATCGCGAAGTTCTGCATTCTCCTTCTGTAGAGCCTTGCAAAGACAAAAATGAGATATTTGTTAATCAAATACTTGGAAGATTAACCTAAAACTTCAATATACTAGGAGTATTATATTTAAGAAAAGATTCATATATAAAAAAATCTTGTATACGTACCACAAAATCTTTACTCTTAGTGGCCATAGTGAGAGCTTTGATTTCTTCATTTCGCGTCCTCAGCTCACTTTCCAATGCTTCAACTCTCAATCTTAAGGCTTCGCTATTTCCCTCCGCGATTTTTCCAGCTTCCAAATCGGCGTATTTAGCTTTTATTTTGGCATTTTCGTCTTTATACAATTGTAGCTGTCTCTTCCATTCGTCAACATTAGCTGTGGATTCTTGTAATGCACTTGTTAATCTTGCATTGTTGGTTTTGAGGGTAGTCAATTCAATCTATAATAAAATATCAATTGCATTATTTTATTGTTTATACATCATTTTCATTTATATTCCTAAACAGAATTTTCTTCATCGTACCTCCCATTTCTTTGCATTAGCAGAACTCTGAGCTAGAGCAAGTTTCAACCTATCATTCTCGTACTTGAGCTGCACCTCAGCCGACTGTCCACCTTGTGAAGAGCTCAGTTGCGCCGATTTCCCTTGATGCTGCGGACTTTCTGTACTCTGCTGAGAAACACTCTGTGATCTTGAATGGACTGTGTTTTTCAATTCATCGTCCACTTTATTCTGACAACTACCAGGTAAAGGACTGCTGCTTACCGAAGATACACTGTTCTGAGCGGATATCATATTGGCATTCGGGTTCGGGTTGTTCGATGCCGACACATTGGAGTTAATCATCGAAGAGTTTGGCGGATCGATAAGATCTTGTTCCGACGATGGCATACCCGACCGAGACGTGATAGGGCTAACATTCGCACTAGTAGCTGGTGTAACTGAAGAACTATTCGACTGTAACTTAGCGCTGGCTAGTTTAGTGGCTTCTTTCACCTCATGAAATTTCTCAATAAACTGTTGATAAAGAATATTTCTTCTGAGAGTATAATATATAAGGATTTTTGCTTTGTAGATTGTAATGAAAATGTAAACACAAACCTTTCCTAACTCAGCCTCAGATGCAAAACCTAAACCGTATACAGTATTCGCCCTGACATCCGACCATTGGCCAAATTTCTGTGATGTTTTTGTAAAAGTCATGTTTGGCGTAATTGTGCTATTTATAACTGCCTAAAGAGGAAAGGAGAGCATATATGTTAGATACTAATCTATTTCGTTTTTATGCTTACAAATATAACTCTTGATCACACCTTTGTTCCTTCAACTGATATTATTCTGTACAGACTTCTGGTAGAATCATAAAAAAATGATACTGATATTGCTGCTGATGATGCAGGTACCCAAGATCGCTTTGTCTTGGGATCAATATGAAATACATGCGCTTTGCACGTAAAGATTGGTTGTTCACTGTAATCAATTTAAATAATAAAATAAGAGTGTGTATGCATATGTATGTATGTGATCTTACATATATGATACAAAGTGTCTATTTTTATCTGACCTCATTAAAGCAAATGCATATTCAAAGATATAATAGAGAATTGACATATAAAATTATGAAGAAAGATAATATATATACAATAAGATTTCATATAAAAAATAAACAGTATTTATTTATATTTAAAATAAATTTTTCTGGATAATATAATAAAGGAGATTGAATATTAACTGCTCGATTTTAAATAAATATATAAACGCGTGAATAAAAGAAATATTTTATTTATATTATAAAAATATAGTCTGTGTATATATTGTGTGATTTTGTATGTGTGTGTACCAAATAAATCTTAAAAATGTTAAAACTTTCTCATTAAAAAATTAAAAAATTTGTGTAACGTATTGGCTCCTTTTCCTAGTTATTGAAAAACAGAAAATGAGACTACTGTCGAAAAACGAGTGTTTGCGACTAATGCGTTTTGTCATTATTTTACAAAAAAAAAAAAAAAGGAAAAAAATTATTTTGGAGTGTCACATTACTCGAATACGTATTACCGCATTGTCATTACTGTCAATCAATTCGAAATAAAACGCGTACGAGGAACAGATGCCACGGAGAGAAAAACGCAGTTGCACAGGGGCATTGTCTCCTACATATTGAAAGCGATCTAATTCATACGGCACGATGGAGGCACCGGTGATAGGCGTATTAAGAACAATTCGTTATATATATACGGGAGCGCGAGATGAAAATTAGCGCGATCGTGTATACACATGCACGTTACACACCCTTAAAAGGCGGTGTACGAACTGTATCTTTCGCCGGAGAATAATCACTTACCCCATTGTTTCCTTGCCCGATGTCATATAAGAGGCTCTTCTTAGTCGCGCGGTCTTATAAATCGTGTCGCGCGCATTCAACACGAGCGCGCGGCGGCTATTTTCAGATCAGGAGAGGCGAGATTTTCCGAGAAATCGCCGAGAACTGTCCGAGCGTAGAGCGAGATCCGCGAGTTGACAGCCGCCGCCATCGGCCAAACCACTATCTCTTTCTCTCTCCCTCTCTATCTATAGCGTACAGCGACGATCACGCGACGACATGAACGTAGTCGAATCTCTCCACACGGTCTGCCTGGATTTAATCGATTTTCCACGAAAGACTCTGCTATTCGCCGTTAACCTCTCGACGCGATTCACCGTTCTCTGAGACTTGTCAAATTCATTAAATCCACTGAACGAGGCTTCGCGAAAAGTCGTACACGCACATCACGCCCGACACGATCGTACTCGAATCGTACTTGAAGGCACTAACGCAACGATGCGACAATCATGGTTTGAAGATAGTGCTATAATCATAGACGTGTGAAATATCTGCTGGCCCTGTGCAAGATAAAAAAAATGATACGGGAGCGCGAGATGAAAATTAGCGCGATCGTGTATACACATGCACGTTACACACCCTTAAAAGGCGGTGTACGAACTGTATCTTTCGCCGGAGAATAATCACTTACCCCATTGTTTCCTTGCCCGATGTCATATAAGAGGCTCTTCTTAGTCGCGCGGTCTTATAAATCGTGTCGCGCGCATTCAACACGAGCGCGCGGCGGCTATTTTCAGATCAGGAGAGGCGAGATTTTCCGAGAAATCGCCGAGAACTGTCCGAGCGTAGAGCGAGATCCGCGAGTTGACAGCCGCCGCCATCGGCCAAACCACTATCTCTTTCTCTCTCCCTCTCTATCTATAGCGTACAGCGACGATCACGCGACGACATGAACGTAGTCGAATCTCTCCACACGGTCTGCCTGGATTTAATCGATTTTCCACGAAAGACTCTGCTATTCGCCGTTAACCTCTCGACGCGATTCACCGTTCTCTGAGACTTGTCAAATTCATTAAATCCACTGAACGAGGCTTCGCGAAAAGTCGTACACGCACATCACGCCCGACACGATCGTACTCGAATCGTACTTGAAGGCACTAACGCAACGATGCGACAATCATGGTTTGAAGATAGTGCTATAATCATAGACGTGTGAAATATCTGCTGGCCCTGTGCAAGATAAAAAAAATGATAAGAGGAAACGCTATGACATTATTGTGTAAGAATTTTTGTTATTTGAGCAAGTTCTTATTAAATAAATTAGGTAAACTTTATATATTTTGATAATATAACATTCTGATAATTGGCAAAATTAGAGACGGCCGATATATGTAAGAAATTCAATGATTATCTACATTTTACAACTCGAAATTTCAACTCTCACAAGAATCAATAAAATACTAATAATAATCAATAGAATACGTTAAATTCCAAGTATTTTTGTTGTTCTTATTATATATCGCTTCCTCGATCTTTAAACTAGTGGAATAAGAAAGGCTAATATTGAGAAATAATTAAGGTTAATGGAAATATGCGAAACAATACTATATTTATATAATAAAAATTCAACTGAAAAAAAAATCCAAAATAATTCAATCATTAATCATACAGCTTGCAGGAATCATGTGCAACGATTTTTCAATTGAATACTAATTATCATAGATGCCTCCTCAATATTCTCTAGACTTTGTCGAAATAGTTGAGCGTGTTGCCAAGCAATTTGACCTTGTCCACCGGACAATGTTACAATTATATTTAATTTCACAGCTTTTCGCACTTCTTCTGTATAAAAATTACTGCAGTTAGAAATAGGTATGACAATCACTTTATCATCACTAAAAATAGCTTCAATCTTCCAGGATACACTAGCTCCGTGAAACACTTCTGATTTAGTTTTTAATTTAAATGTCTCTAGATACAATTTGGAATTTGCAATTTCAAAAATCCATTTAATAAATCCATGTTGAGCCTGCGGAGACCGTGCTAAATAAACCATCTTCCAATCATTTTCGACTTTACGAAAGATTCCACCATCTGTAGTATTTGTTCCTTCTTGCCATCCAGATTTTTGCTCCAAAATTGTGCCATCATTGTGTACAACATGGTATATATCTTTAACGATATTATATCGTAGTTCAAATGTTTCTCCGTATTTAGAAACATCCCAAATATAATGCTTTTCCATATTGGTCTAAGAAAAAGGGCGAATGTGTAAAATGTGTAAATTAATAAAATAATAATGGAAGGTTAGATTAGATTGTTTTCATGAATTTTTAAGAAAATATGAGATTGACACTTTATATATTTTTTTTAAATTTTATTTGTAAAAATCTTTCAAAATTTTAGAACATACCTGTACAATTTCGCCTCGTGCTAATCTCCATGCAAGGGAACCTGAGGTTCGCCCTTCGTAAGTTTCATCGGAATTCTTATTTTGTAAATTTGGAATGTACAGCATATCAGCAAGCTCCAATAGACTTCGCATGACGACATATTCTCTGCGCATACGGCTATAATTGGGCGAATTTTGCCGTTGATCAGTTAATGATCGTAGAAATTGTATCAAACTCTGTTCGGTGCAAATTTTCCGCCTTTTCATGACGGCTTCTTGATTTCGTGTGTAACGCCATGTGACATCCTGCACCTCATCCTTGGAAAAGGCTATTACATATGTTAATTTCTTTTTCCATCCTTTCTCATACATTAACGGCTTGTCTATCACGTTCTCACATGGGTCTAGATGAATCCATTTCTTGTCTGACGTCGACCATATCTGAAAATAGAAAAATGAAAGATTCTAAACAATTTCGAGCAGATGATTTCGTTATGGGGTAATATTTGTGAAACCACTGATAATTTAATATACCTCTGTCCAAACGTGATCTGTCTCATCAGATATAAAGCGTGCATCATAGTCGAGTGAACGACACAAAAGTGTGAACACATTGGCCCATTCCCCGCAGCGACCGCGTCTCAATGTCAGTAGTGGCTCTGGATGCGAATAACGAGGAAATTCGACAACTACATTGCATTTTTCACATCTAAAATTGAATAAACATCATAACAATATTGCAGGTTGATTAATACAATAATCTTTTATATAAGATATTTAAAGAAATCTTACCTGTGTATCTCTATCCTAGAGCAACGACGATCTGTGGATGGTACTACGCTCTCGTATACACATTCAGTAGAACATCTTGAGCATTTTGGACTATTAACCCATTCAAAAAATTCATGCTTAAACCAGTGTAGAAGCTCGACAAGCAGTAAATCTTTAGCCGTTAATTCTGTCTCAAATTGAGTTGAAGAAGTAGTTCTTGCCTCATCGCTAAACTTGTAAGATCTGCAGATATCAAATAAATAGTAAACAATAAAATGAATTTTATTATAAGTAACGCATATATATGATTTAATTACTTTTGTAGATCTCTCATTTTTGTCATGGCTGCAATTTCTAATTGAGCAATTGGTATAACATTTCTGGCCTTTCTTTGTAAATTTGGATCTTCATAATACATAACATCATGAAAATGTCCAGAAATTCTTTTGAAGAATGTTTTTTGCGCTGCAGAATTTTCTTCAATGTCTTTAGTTGCAGGCTTGCTCTCTGACACAGCAGATAACAGTTTCGACAAATTTTGGAGTCTCAAAAGAGATACGTTGCCTGGTAAAAATAAGCGTTCCCCATCCTGTTAAATAATTGTTGCTTAGAAAGGATTTTTTGAAAAATATTTAGAAATATTTTGTAGTATTCGAATTTAAGTAACAAATATAGCCGTTAAATTAGGCGTTACATTGTTATTATCTTAATTGTAGAAGAGTACAAAAATCGGAAGATAAGAAATATCTGTTGGACCGAATACAGACCTCAATATAGCCGACATCGAACAAGCATTCCATGGCACCGATAGCCGGCAGAAGTTTCTCAATGACTACTTCGTCATCCAGACGCACCTCGCGTGCCTTGTCATCATTCGGCGATCTCAGTACATTATGACAGATGTTTAACAATGCTCTCTGCGCTTCGTCGCGCACGTTGTTCTCGTTCTCCTCCAGCGATTTGACACAGCGTTCTAGACTTTCCATATTTGATTGTGGCTCATACATACACCGATTAATCCGCGATCATCTGTTTACTATCATTGTCGGACGTTCGCTAACCGGACGTATCATCATTATTGTTGACTCAACGTACGTCGCTGGTCTTGGCTAGCTAGAGATAAGCTTGATATGTCAATGCTCACATCATATGAACCTTCTACACCTTATGCACTCAAAATAAGATGGGTATAACGTATAACGCGTAGACTGGTAAGAGAGAGAAAAAGGAATATCTGTTGACAGATATCGACGAGATGCTATCAACAGAGATAAAAGATTTCCAAGTAAAAATCTGGACATTACCCGACTGATTTTATTGATTGCCTTGGCAAAAAATGGCGGAATTAATAGGAAAAATTCCAGCATCAATTTCTGATCATATAACTACCATTTTTGATGCATTCTTATCAGATAGTTTTTAATTAAACGCCTTCATTCTCTCATATACATCCCACATATTGTCAAGGCTTGTTTGTGAAGTCACGTGGGTAACCACTCTCCGCCTACTGTCGGCTGATTCTTCTGTGCATATGTCAACGTCGTGGTGGATCTTACATGGTCACCTAGACTCATGCAGTTTATATAATTGATTGCACACAAGTGTAAAGATCAAGAATTGCACAGTATTCGAAGCCCATCCGCGGCTATGGAATGCGTGATTCCAATTAGTTCCAACGTTGTTTTTTCTAAAAAATGATATAACGCAGAGTCAAGTATATATAGCAAAGAATAAGGTTGCCGTGCTAATGTGTTAGTGTCAAGAATATGGCTATATTTAGCGTATGACGACGGGTCGTTTTGGAGCACGAACAGTGCCGTTGCTCTGATATAGCTAGCGTATCGTTTGTGTTTACGCTCGACAATTTGTGACAAATAGGACGAAAATGGAAGATATATTTCAATGGTGTCGCGAGGGTAACGCTATGCAAGTCCGCGTCTGGCTAGACGACACTGAACATGACATGAATCAAGGGTAACTACTCCAGAACTCCTTTTTTGGAAAAGACTCATTCCTCGGATGTTGTGGTTTCTCAGATGTTATAATGGGTTGGCTGAATAATCACATGGTTTTGTAAAGAATATTCCTGATGAGAATATGAAGCAAATAAATCATAAATTTATATAAAGTTTGATTATACCAGAATAACTAAAAAAAAAAAAAAAGATGATTGTAGTAATTTTATTTGTGTAATTTTAATTTTATTTGTGGACATTGTTTTTTAAGGAATATCTGAAGAAATTGCTTACCTGCAAACTATAATTTAATAATTTGATTTTTAATCTCTGTTTATATTATAAAATACTTTAATCAAATGTGTTGCTCTCTATATATAGAGATGATCATGGATTCAGTCCACTTCACTGGTGTTGTAAAGAAGGACACTTAAAATTGGCAGAATTACTCCTCAGCAGAGGTGCACGCATTAACGCTACCAACAGAGGTGATGATACACCTTTGCATCTCGCTTCGGCGCATGGACACAAGGAAATAGTACAGTTGGTAAAAGAATTTAACAATGCTACTTGTAAAAGATTGTTCAAAGTGTTTACATTTGTGTAAGATGGATAATATATAATTTAATTCTTATAGTTACTTAGAAATCGTGCTGATGTAAATGTTACGAATGAACATGGGAACACCGCCTTGCACTATGCTTGTTTTTGGGGAGATCAAGCAATCGCAGAAGAATTGGTCGCGGCTGGCGCTCTCGTGTCCATTGCCAACAAAGATGGTGATACCCCTCTTGATAAAGCCAGAGGTGTCATAGCCAAGAGATTACATGGTATATAAAAAGTTTGTACGACGCGAATTAATATCTCCCATATTTGCACATGTGATACATCCCTTGTTTCTTTTCAGATTTGGCAGTGGAATATGGACAAGATTTGAAGAAAATTCAATTTAAGGATCAGAGCTGGTTAGGCTTGAAAACCAGGAGCCGTAAGTGTATTTCTTAATCGACAAAAGAATATACAAGGCATGTATGCAAGCTATATTATATTTCTATATTATTTTCTTCAGGCGACGCGACTCTTTCTCGGCATAAAGGAATCAGTATGGTAGATCTGTCTCTGCATACGCATCTCGCGAGCACACCGAGCGGTGAAACTTGGCGAGGACGATGGCAAAACAACGACATCGTTGCCAAGATATTAAACTTTCGCGAATGTACCGCGCGCATCTGCAGGGATTTCAATGAAGAGTTTCCAAAGTTAAGAATCTTTTCGCATCCTAATGTTTTGCCGGTTCTCGGTTGTGTGAATCAGCCGCCGCAATTGGCAACCGTTTCCCAATATATGGCACGAGGTAGCTTGCATCGACTTCTACATGGCGGAACGGGTGTCCTAGTGGATACAGCGCGCGCTCTTCGATTAGCTCTTGATATCGCCAGGGCTATGGCATTTCTTCACGGTTTGGATCGGCACAATAGATGCAGATTTCATCTCAATAGTAAGCATATAATGGTGAGTTTTTAACAACTACTTAATTATAAGAATAATTAAATATATATCTAGATATCTAAAATTTACACACTAATTATCGTTTATCCAAACATATCTTGCATTGCGTTTCAGATTGACGAGGATTTAACAGCTCGCGTAAACATGGCAGATGCGAAGTTTTCTTTCCAAGAAATCGGACGAATTTACGAGCCGGCGTGGATGTCGCCAGAAGCTTTAAGCAAGCGTCCCGCAGACATTAATCTTGAGGCAAGCGATATGTGGAGTTTCGCCGTTCTCTTATGGGAATTGGCAACCAGAGAAGTACCATTTGCGGATCTATCGCCTATGGAATGTGGCATGAAGGTGGATTATAATTCTCATTCATATTACTAAATTATAATAGTATACTATATTAAGATTCTCTCCTTTTTCTGTAACTTTTTGTAACTCTTAGTGGTGAATATATACTTCTTATCAAATTGCTTTATATAGCAATGTCGAATTTAAATGACAAATTACTAATTGATAATTTGTTTTAGATTGCACTGGAAGATTTACGTGTAAGCATTCCACCAGGAATTTCTCCACATCTTGCAAAACTCATTCGCATCTGTATGAATGAGGATCCTGGCAAACGACCGTCCTTCGACATGGTTATACCGATTCTGGATAAGATGAAGCGCTGAAATGTATGTCTGAAATGATTTAATCAAAAAGTGCCTAATGAATCTCTATATTTATTAAACTGCCTGAAGAATTATTATTAATCATGATATATAGAATATTTTTATATCACTGTGTTCTATACAAATGAACGAATACTGCCTTTAGAAAAATTTAAACTAGGCTCTAAATGGACTAATCTTTTTTTAGCTATTTCTTATATATTTAATACAATGTTTTGTGGAAACACATTTATATCTGTAATCTAAATAAGTCTTTAAATATATAGCTCGAACTCTGCCCACACTTGGCGTATTAAATCGTCATGACTTTTAGTAAAAAAGAAAAAATAGAATATTATAAAAAATAGAATTATTTACACACAGTAGAGGGTATATTTTTTATAAAATTTTTGATGACTCATTTTCGGTTTGCCACCAGACATATTGTGAATATTATTTGTATGTTAATATCAAAGTCACATACAGAATGAAATGAAATGTATTATTAAAAAATGAATATTATATGTCAATGAATAATTTTATTAACAAATGTAGACAAATATATTTATTGTTACACATACAAAGGGTGTTTTATTCCATTATCATTTTGGTGATTACATAAAAAAATACCTCGCCATATTTTTGTGACAAAATTAATGAAATTCAAATTTGATATATCGGCAATTATTTTAACCGACTCTTTTTTTTTTACTCTTCCCCTCTATTTATTAATTATCTTATTGTGTTGCATCTACTATTCGCGTATGTATATATATTTTATAAATCTGTCAAGAAATTTCAATAAACATTTACATACGTTTGTATTTACGTATGTATATATATATGGATATATTCCATATATATTTATACATTATATAAAATGTAAAATCTAGAATTACACATATTCGCGCAAATGTCAGGTCAGGGCCAGGCTAATACATAATTTAAAAATGGCTGCTGTACACAAATTTACCCGGCTTATACCAAGGGCGAAGTTTTTCAATAATAATGGCTATTATGCAAACGAGAATCTACGGTCGTTTTGCACGATGGTACAACAACCGCAAAAAACGCAAAGTTTAGTGAAAATTAGTTTAATTGGTGCGGTTACCGGTGTTGCTCTAGGTGCAGGTTATGCCTATCACAAAATCAACAAAATTCGACAAAATCTCGCTCTAGAAGGAACGCAGGCGGAAATTACGCTGTTGAAATATAAACCATCTGTCACGCCGTCCAGAAAAGTATTTCAATGATTATGTCGTGAGAAATTTTACCGCATTTGCAGCATTTAATAGCTGTTTATATTGCACATCAGGTGAGATTGATATATAACATTAATTTTTATTTTAGGTCAGAGTTTTCCTAGATTACTATGGGATATCCTATGATGTTGTGGAAGTAGATCCGGTACTCCGTAAAGAGATTGGATGGTCCTCTTACAAAAAAGTTCCAATCCTCTTGACTAAAGTAGGAGAAGGCTATCAACCTCTCAACGACAGTTCCATGATAATATCTCTCCTTGCATCCTATTTACATGACAAGTCTTATAAGGTTGAGGAGTTGACTAACTATTATCCAAGTATAGCAATGCATGACGAACATGGCAAATTTAAATATGAGATCATAAATAAATATTTTCTCATGTTTAACAAAAATCTTCCAAAGGACAGATCAATGAATGATATAACGTATGTAAACTCTAATATGAACGATATAAAACGCTTAATCACGTTTTTATGCTTGTTATTTACTTCAATTTCTTCAATTTTAGCGAAGAACGTAATTGGAATTACGCTGTTGAAATATAAACCATCTGTCACGCCGTCCAGAAAAGTATTTCAATGATTATGTCGTGAGAAATTTTACCGCATTTGCAGCATTTAATAGCTGTATCTTTCTATTCTAGGTTATATTTCCAGTGGACTCTACGGATTTAAATGTCACGTTATTTCAGTATCAAACATGCCCGTTTTGTTGTAAAGTAAGTAAAAAACGAATTCACAAAAAAAATTTTATGTGCTATGTTACATGTGCAAAGCAGATTATTTTGACTCTACATTTATCGAAGCACTTGATTCATTACAGATATCATTTCATATCACTCTGTAGCATTGAATAAAAAAATTATATTGAAATATATCTTATTATATTGCACATCAGGTGAGATTGATATATAACATTAATTTTTATTTTAGGTCAGAGTTTTCCTAGATTACTATGGGATATCCTATGATGTTGTGGAAGTAGATCCGGTACTCCGTAAAGAGATTGGATGGTCCTCTTACAAAAAAGTTCCAATCCTCTTGACTAAAGTAGGAGAAGGCTATCAACCTCTCAACGACAGTTCCATGATAATATCTCTCCTTGCATCCTATTTACATGACAAGTCTTATAAGGTTGAGGAGTTGACTACTCTTTCGCCAAATGTATATAGAACGATTGATGAATCTTATAGAACTTTCAATTGGTTTTCAAAAGTGAGTGAATCTACAGAATAAAAATATGCACATACAATGTAAACGCGATGACTTAAATAAAATAAAAAATTGTTCTATCCAGGTCGGCAAATGGGAGGAATATTTTCCATTATGGGAGCGAATGTTAATAGTGAATGTAGGTGCAATGGCAATGTGGTTGATAGGGAAAAGACTCAAGAAGAGACACCGTTTAAAAGACGACGTTCGACAATCGTTGTATGACGAGGCGAATTACTGGTTGCGTGCTATCCGCGCACGTAACACCCCGTTTATGGGTGGCAGCAGGCCCGATCTATCCGATCTTGCAGTATATGGTATCTTAAAAAGTATCGAAGGCTGCGACGCTTTTCAAGATCTACTGGCTCACACGAAAATCAGCGTTTGGTACAATGCTATGAAAGAACAAGTTGATACACATTCTGGTAGTGCAAATTTAAGTAGATAATATATACATCGATCATTATGTCTCTGTATGTATAGAGTTATTTATTTACATTATAAATAATATTTAATAAATAAATAACTAATTTAATTACGCTTATTATCTTCTCTATCAGAATTCATCACATATATATGTATATATATCTCGCATAACGGTATCCTTAAACTGAACAAGGTAGCTGACGAAACATAAGCTTGAAGCCTTTGTTCTGGGCTTCTTGCATTTCGTCACCATTTGTAATGACATAAAGTACAAACGGTTTTAAATCCGCTGTATAAAAATTCAGAAATGTTTAGTATTTTTATAATATATAATGTATAGTATATATGTGAACTGTACCATTACTTACATGTTTTAGTTATAAATCCATTTCCGCAAAACCTGTCTGTGTTAGCAGGAACGCCATTTTCACGTGGGTCGGGTATAATCACAAAATCATTCGTGCAGCTCGCACCAGATTCTGCTACCAAATCAGTACCTATTAAAGCAATCATAAAAATTAAACGCCGTGGCAAAGTATTTTTCAATCGCCTGTTACAAAGAATATATTAAAGATATATCCAATGATACATAACTCGTTAAATAAAAAATTCTCGAGATTTCTTTGACCTGTACGGTTTACCTATTATATCTGAATCGAACGATCCCGTGTCTCCAGAAACGGAGAAAGAAAATCTGTTCATTTGAGACCACTCGATACTGCAATATCCCAGAGCCATTCTGACGCACACGCCGTAATGGTGATTTACCATTTGTCGCGTTCCAATTTGAGGAGCTACAACCATTTATTTTATTTAAACTGTTCATTCACAGATTTACGCCACGACGTTTGTTCGATTGACGCGTACCTCGGGCATTTTCTGTTGTACCATAATTAAAACTCATTACGGTGTCGGAGACAGTCTTGTAATATTGTAAACATCCGTTAGGAGCTGAAATCAAGATGCGAAACAATTGTACTAATTTCTCGAAATATATAATGAAGGTATTTACGTACCTTTACACACAGAATCGCATGCTATTTGCTGAATTCTTATATTCCAGCGTCGATCAAACGCGTAACCCGCATTAGTGTCGACAGATATACTGATCGGCGTCGCTCCGTTGAAATCGACGTATACTGAAACAGAATTTAATTAATTCTCCGTTTTGCTCTATTTGAATTTTTATTAATCAATGGATTACCATGCTGATTAGTGTTTTCCCCGCATATTCTGGGTACCGTTGACGAACCACCAGATACCAGAAATACGTCGTAATCGCAATATCCAGTTGCGTTGGGTTGTGCCCAAGTTGCCTCCAAGAAATCCAACCGCAACTGCAAATAGAAGATACTGCTATATAATAAAGACACTTGAAAAATCAATGCATAATGTGCGCATTACCTGACAGATGTTAGAATTACAACGTTGTACCGTGATCGTACATCGTTCTCCTCCTTGATAGGTGATTGGATACCTTGGATTTACAAAGTATGTGTTGTTCATGTTAGTGGTAGAGCCGCAAGATTTTTGAACTGCGACATATAAGTTGCATTACTTGTAATTATTTATTAAGAAAGTATATTTATTATTTTCTCTTTTTTTTTCTGCTACTCACACACACAGCAAGTTCCTAATCCGTTAGCGCATGGTCCTGAGGGATTACCTCCGTAATTAATGCATTCCCGTCTTGTAAAACACGTGCCGTTGAGTTGATCGGTGCTCGATAAGCATTGAGTATTGGCAAAACGCACGACACTGAATAGCGGAAAAACTAAGGAACAAAGATACCGTATTGTTTAAAATAGCTCCAACCAACTCGTTACTCAATTAAATGACTTACATTTTCCCTGATGATTAGAATGGGCGTTGAATGATTGAATTTCCAAAGCTGCATTATTCCTTAAGGATTGATCCAAATTAATAATTTCACTACTTGTAACAGGCATGAGAGCAAAGCAGCTGACTAATAGTATACTAATCATGTCTGGAGATGCAACTGGCTTTAAGAATTACATATTCTGGCTCTAAGAAGATACCAGTAACGGCAACGATGTATGATCAAGCAATCATAGCAATTAGCAAGTGACTGAAACCTCAAGTTTACTGTACATTCAACTGTACCATGTGTATGAGATAATTCTGCCTCATACATTTGTATAATACAATGATAATGTGGTATAAAACGTGCAAGAAATCAACATATAATATAAATTTTTATAAATAAAAAATAATTTATATATACGTATTGTTGTTTCACAATAATGCTGTATAATCATAATAGGTTTAAATAGATACAAAACATTTTTAACAATCTGATATAAGTATATTACGCAACCTACAATAAATTTCTGATATCACTTTTTATTTCAACCTATAGTCACATTCGGCGTCCGACAAAACGGACAGTGTCCGTGTCGTAATAATGCTAATTCATAGTCATCTGAATGAAACAACTGAAACATATAATAATTATATAAAATAAAATTCTATCAAAATTTTCGTAATTAAATAGAATTCTTTTTTCAATAAACTTACCTTTAAACAGCATTTACACAAGCTAATCTGGAGATCGGGTAAAAGATTTCTGAAATATCTAGTCTTAAAAGGCTTAGGCCATTTAATAATTATTACAGTGGACGGATCCATACTCTTCAATATTCCCCTTCCCACGATTATCGTAGAATTATTGAATTTTTCCTGTGGAAATCATGTAATTTTTTTATAAAATAATCATTTCACACATAAACATATACATTTAAATATATTTATTATACCTCGTATCTCATTAAACGCACAGTGAAAAGATCAGCCTCATTGGAAGTTACAGTAAATTGATCGCAATCTGTGAGATCATCAGAGGATGGTAATGGTTCTTCTATCAACTTCTCTGCTTCTTCATCCGTGATGTCATCCTCCAATTCAAATTCAACTAATGGCAGGATTTCTGTAAAAATGATACTAGTTTAAACAGATTTATACCATTACACGAGAATTCTAGAAGAAACGTAATAAATCTAGAAATCTGTAAATTTTACAGATTGTAATTTGATTATTACCTACCAAACATGACGAAAGAATATTGAAATTTCAGTCCGCATTGCGTACAGTTACTACCAGAGTTATTATTCGTCGGTAATAATGGATTGAATGTAGAGCATTTATAACATAGAGGTAGTAACTCTTCTGGATCACGATACGGATAAGATCTAGCAGCTAGAGTCGATGTTTCTACTTGTGCCAAGAAATTCGCAGGAATTTTCATAGTGCGTAACTGATCTAACAATTGCATGACCAGCTTATTGGCACCTAATATTCGCGCTTGTTTTACAAGACTGTACATTATCGTTACTTTTGAGACACCTTCTAGACGCATATTTTGTGTTTTCATGAGCAGATACCTCGAAATATTGAATAATGCTTCTGGCATCAGAGACGTAAAAGGTTCTTCCTAGAATATATTAACTTATAAGATTTTTTATAAAGAGAGAAAATGCTCTGAAGATATCGTGTATAAAATACATTAATATATACATAATAATACGTTACATTGTAATGTATTACCAAATCATACCAGATATTTATATACTTCGTGATATGCGTAATAAATATCCGCCTTATCAGAGTATTTAAGGAACATCAGTTTTATCTCTTCTGCACTCTTTGACAGATTCAAACTCAACTGCGATAAGAGCCAATAAAAGTAAGAAGCATCGCGAAATCTTCTTTCTGTTATAGCATTATTAGCCAGCATTGTAAGTACGACTATGGATTCTTCAGGTTGTCCCGCCATTTGGAATGCTGGTAACAGATAACAAATATCAAGTATCTCAACGTTGTATATACGTCTGTTGTACACGTGATACGATGACAATACCTTCTTGAGCCTCGGAAAATCGTCCAGTCTCCGCCAACCATCGTGCATACGGTCCATATATTCGTGATTTTAATTTTGGATTCCTTTCCGCGAGTTCGAAAGCTTCAGGCCACGCCTGCGCGTCTACGAGTACATCGGCAACGTCAGGATCATCCCCGAGTCTACTAAAAATTTCCGCTGCGCCATGTGAAGCACCCAGCTGTTTGAGTTTTTTGGCGATCATAGACAAGTTGTCTCTGTCCGCCTTATCCAATTGCCTGCCCACTTTGATCAGCATATCAATCCAACCGTACTCGGCAATAATACTGATGGCACGATCGATGTCTCCCGCAGAAAGGAACATCTCGGCCGCGGCGCGCGGTTCGCCTAAACTTTTCGCCCATTCTGCTCGTCGTCGCAACAGTACTGTACGATCCTGAAAATTGAATAAACTGTTAAACCAATTTCGTAAATATTACTCATTTTATCATGTCTCATTTATTATTTCGTTATTTTTGTCTTTACTTTTATATTGTATACCAAACTTGAGCTCGAAATATTTATTATAAACGAACCTGTGTGTTACCGGAGACTATAAATTCCTGAGCAATATCGAACATCCGCAAATCGGAATACATATCCAGAGCGTATTGTTGTAAACCAGCTTTTTGATAGAGCTTCGCCGCATCGCGAAGTCTACCCATGGCGGCCGCGGCGGTAGCCATGCAGGCTTCTCGTCCCCATTCACCCGATTTTAATTTCTCTTCGACTTCGGATACGATCTCTATGTATCGTAACTTTCTCACTCGCGCGAACGCCGAGTATGCGATATTTAATTCCAAATTATCCAGACACGCCGTTCCCAAAGCAAGCCAATCCGATTCGGCTACGCCTAAACATGCTATGTCATAAGCGTGATTGTACAATCCGATGTCCAGATATTGATACATGAATAATGACAAAGGCACCTGCAAATATTTAATTATATAATATTGGTATGTTTTATTATCTCGAATAATTCTGTGAGACGGCTTACTTCTAACGTAATGATGGATGAACCGTTCAGGCAATACAGTTTTGAGCCGTTATGGCCTACAACAAAACCGGAGAATTTTTGTCTGTACTCGGAAAAGTTGGCGACTTTTATCGCGAGATAGTTGTTGCCCGCAAAGCACATAATATCCTCGAAAGCGATGTTGTACGCTACGCTGTTGACATTTTGGAATTCCTGCAATTTCTCGCCAGTACATAGATCG